GATTGAGTTGTGCTCTGAAAAAAACCTTGGAATGAGCAGAAATGGGAACATTTCAAAGCCTCTGCTGTACATTCAAATTTTTAACCACAAGCTTAGCTTTTATCTTTGGTCAGCCCTTCTGTTCCTGAAATATTCTTAAAAATTTGCTTTAGATAGTTGCCTTGATGCCAACATACTTTTTAAAACTGTTTTTTTATGGAAAATGCTCAGTCTCAAGTACTTCCAGCAGTTTCCAAGGTAGAAAAAAACGCTTTTGGGAACTGTTTGGTCTCTGCTGTTTAAAAAAAGCACATCACACAGTCCTGTAATGGCCACCATTTCTTTACTACGATGGATTTCCCACAGTGCAACAGCTCAGCCTATCCTCAGCAACTTTTTAGTGTGCTCTCACAGAAATCCCCCCCCGGGTTTAAAAACAAAGTGATTCAGGGTCTGACAAATTGAGCAGAAAGAACATTGAAAAAATACTGTACACATAATAAAAGAAGGTTTTGCTATTTAAGTGATGGACAGTACAGCAGAGCTAAGAGGATGGGGGGAAAAAAACTCCTTAAATGAGTTTCATCATCAAAGACAAAAAGCTTTGGAAATAACACACATTAGGTAATTTTTTTATATGTAAGAATAGTATAAATCAAAGAAATAAAAGCAGTAACTAAGCAGATGAAAGGTGTAGGCACCAAAAAAGACAAAGAACTGAAAAATAACCAGTTTGGATATATTCATCAAAATGTATTTAAACGATTGCAGTAGGAATCAAACTAGTTTCCTTTCTGAACAATAGACTGTCTCATCCAATAAATAATATGGAAGAGGTAGCGTTTGATTTTAATAAAATCTCTTTCTTTATTTGTCTTAAAGCTGAAGTCTGTAAGTTTTTAAAAATCACTTTTTTGTCATATTGGCTAAAACTGTCCCTATGCCCAGACAGCAGTACATGTGATATGTAACCTGTGAAAAAAACTGCTTCAATTGGTACCGCCTACTGCCTGTATTTCAATCTGGAAAGAATAATTCGGGACGAGTCAAAACAACCAATCACAGCCAGAGGAGCGTCTGATGGAGTGTCAATCACAGCTCACACACGCTGCATCCCGCCACCCCCCCCCCCCTTCTGGTCGCATGCGGTAGCCGCGCAGATGCTGTGAGAGGGGTGGAGCTTGGAGGTGGGGCATGAGTGAAGCAGAGAGGGTGGGGGAGTGGCGTGAAACCTGTTTTTCTTCAAATTTTCAATCGAAGTCTGCTCTCTCCTCAATGTTACAGACTGCAGCTTTAACAGATATATCTAGTTTTTGTTTAGATATGTAAGAATGTACGTTTAAGAAATAATACAAATATTGATCTCTGGAATAGTCATTTTAACAAAGACTGTTTAAAACAAATAGATATGGATATTCTCTCCAAGAGAACACGGGCATCAGCTGCTGTGGATCGATGGACAAAGAATAATGAGGACCTTGAGATATTGAAGAAGTTACCAATTAGAAGTTGTCAAAAAAAAAAAAAAAAGCTTAAACGAGAATATCATTGATAAATGATGGCTGAAATTAAATGACAACATAGTAAAGTAATGTGTTTAGGTGTAGCATGGGTCCCATAAAATAACAAATGTCCCTCAGAAATAAATACAAATTAAATCAAACTCCAAGAAAACGAATTAAAGTTATTATTTAACAACCATATGTCCATATTTTAGACAGCCTGGCTATTATTGGTTACCATACATGATTGGTGAGGGTGAGTTAATGGTAATTACAGCACTATTGTCTCCTTCAATCAACCTAATATCACTTTGGAAACTTAATTGATTTGCCTTGGTTGTACAGAAAAAGAATGAGTTGTTTCCGATTGCTTTTTCTGACGATATAATTTTATTATAAAGGGCAACCAACAGGAACAGTGAAGGTCAGTCTGAGGTCTGGAAAACCTTCTAACGGATCTGATTATAATTGTAAAGCAGGTAAATACTAATACAGGTTTAACTCTGAAAGACCTTCACTTATTTTTCAAATATTGTTTAAGCAGAACAGTTCACCGTTCTGCCCTTCAGACAAAAACACATAAACCCCATGGGGCAGATATTAAAAGAAAAACCTACCTTTATCCTCACACCAAAACTTTGTAAATTAGGATTTAAAATAGCCAAATTCAAAATCCATAGTTTGACTGAGGGGTAGTATGGAGAACAAATTAGCACAAAAACACAACAAGTGTCATTTCTGATGGAAAGATGGACATGTCTAACCGTAACCAGATTGCAGTTGGAAAACTGGATTATGCTAATCTTTGGAAAATATGAAGGAGCGGATCCTAATGTTTTAAACCAAACATTACACATGAAAGGAGGTGATCCTGCACTTCATAATCCAGAATGAGCCACTTCAAGGGTGGAAGCTGAAGGTTTTGCATGTAGGCTTCACAGCAGCCCAACCTAAAAACTGTTGAAAATCTGTGGATGGACTTCAAAAGAGCAGCACACACAGAGCAGCCAAAGAGGCTAAAAGAGAAGCTTTTTGAAAGAGGCTTTGGTGAAAACCTTCCAAGCCAGCAATGGAAAGAAATTCAACTTCCACAGAACGCTTGGACATGTTGTGATGTACCAGAATAGCATACTTTTATTTGGCAACGATATCTAAAACTAAAAGATAAAAAGGAGAAAATCTAGCTTGAGAATCAAAATAAATGAAATCTGAGTCCACAGTCTTAATAAGCATGGTAATCTGTCTTTTTTTCTTCTTCCATAAAACTTTTGTGAGAGACCTGTCAAGGGGATCTTTCATGTTGTGATTGCTGCTGACGTTAACTGTCATGATTAGGCTTTTTAACTGTTTAGAAAGAAGAACGTATGCATGATGCAATAAATGAAGCAAATGCATGTGAAATGGAATGACATTTAGACAAAAGTTTCTTGAATAAAAATCTAAGCAGTGCAAAATGTGTTACTTGTCATGCTCCATTACTGTAATACCTCTAGTTAAAATACAGCGTCCCTCAACAACTGCCTCTGAATGTCACCTAATTAATTCAGAGTTCATCCTTTTGTGTTCATTCTCTACAGATATGAATACTACACTCTCACCTTGTAGGGAGGATAACAAGAAAATAAGAACTGTTTAAAGCTTCAAAATTGGCATTAATGGTTTGCTTTCCCTACTGAGGACACAACAGCCATCATCTGTTCCCCTGTGCAACGCCCAGCGTTTGTTGTGTGTACCTCCTAAAGAGTAACGTCCCCGAGTGGTAGCTCACACACTTCCTTCTGACAAACTGTGAATCTTAATTGTCAAACATACAGGCAGGTGTGGATGCTTCTGCTTTTTGTTAAATGCTCTCGCAGTCTGACTGCAATTACACTAAGAATGGGACCCCTGATGTAAAGGATACCAAACGTGTTGAGAACAATGCTTTCTTCAGAGAAGGGACAGATGAAATTGCTTAGCCTTCACACAAAATGTAATGCATGGAAGAAAATTCACAGCTGCTAATCACCCTGAATACTCTATCAAGACCCTGAAACATGGCAGTAACAGCTTCTCAATGATGGGAAGTTATTTTTTAGCATCAGGGAAAAGCAAGAAACGCTATTAGATCACACCAGCAGGATTAGAGCCCAAAATATAACGAGAGCAGCAATGCATTGGTCTAAATGTGAGATTCTCAGCCCCGGTTCTCTGGTCCCATCATCTACGCTTTAACTGTTTACCAACTGCCGCACACCTGGCTTAAATTAATTGGTGATCGGCTTATGGAGGCATAGTACGCTGAGGTGGTAATACTTCATGTGAGTCACGAATGCTGGAAAGGAAACAATTTTAAAAGCTGAAGGACAATGGGCCCTGAGGACCAGGGGTGAGAACCACTGTTCTTAATCAAACGTAAATTTATTGATAAGAAAGGGCCAGTCAAGGTCCAGCACTTAATCAAACTGAGAATCTAATACAAGACCTTAAACCAGTGTATAGATTCCCTATCCAAACTTATGTTGCGCTATTTTCTCAAAACTAACAGTCTCTCGAAATGTTTAGCTTGATACATTTTTCTATAAATGCAGAAAAAACCCACAGCTGATGTGTGTTCAGATGCTCACAGCTGAACACGCTAACAGATATTTATTTGTAATATAAAATTTCCAATAACTGTGCTTCCACTATGACTAATAAAGAGAAAAAAGATCAGTTAGTCACTTATGACAAAATGTTTTCACTGCCTTACAGAGGTTACAAAATGTAAAAATTGTGCAAATATTTTAAATGCCAATGAAAAACAACACTGCTTATGTCATCTTTTATAGAATTTTCAGTTCACATAATGTTAAAATAATGTTGCCTGTGGTATTATATCACTTTATATTATATATCAGTTTTGATTATCTAATCATTTCACCCTTTACCTGCATAGCATTCAGTTGTATATCCATTATTCACCTCATATAATCTCAGTGGAGATTAAATTTCATATTCTATTCTGTCTGTAACGTTTGTCTTTGCTTTCCTATAAAATGTTCTGCTTTAACTTAAAAATTATGTTTTTTGTTTCAAAACTAAGCAAAGCAAGGCATAAAAAATAAACACAACACTTTCTTATCCAGTTTTTTTTTTTTTCACCTCCCTTTCTTATTTACAAGAAATAAGGTGGAGAATAAATCAACTGAGATACGCTGAAATTTATTCACAAGAAAAGGAAACTATTTACTTCCGACTGACTGTGACAAAACGACAGGAGCATCCCCTGGCTCTCGTGACATTTAAGAAAAATATTCCCAAGCACTTTCACTAAGCCTTTTAGAAAGCTGACAAGCTCAGCTCTGCTACCAGAGTCTCCAAAAACCTCAGTGCTATGGAGGCCTGTGATTTTACATGTCACGGTCAATCTGAGAAATGAGCATCTGTTTGACCTGTGAAGGACAGGGAGCAGACAGGCCTCATTCACAGCAATATTAATTCTCATGTGCTGGAAGAGAAAATAATCAGACGTAACTTAGAGTAATCAAGGTGTCTTACCTCATCTTGGTAGATGAAGAAAAGCATGATGGACAGAATTTCCAAGAAGAAAATCAGTAGAAGTAGGATGAAGAACTGTAAAGAAGGAGAGAAAGAAACAAGTTTAAGAAACAATTATTTTAGCAATACCAGAGAAGGATCCGAAATGGATCATCATTGCTCAAAAAAAACTAGGAAGACTTTGCCAAAGCATAAAAGTTAGGATTATAAGGAGTGAGTAAAACAGTCTGATGGGGTGATTTACAGTTGTCCTCTAGCCATTTTTGAATTCCTACAAGTAGCCACGTTTTTATTATCCATCAGTCCCAGCCTCACTTTAGTGGCAAGGTTGAGCCGTTTGATAGGTCATACATCTTCTTCCTGCAGGCTCATTTGAGTGTTTAAAACAGTTACGAGCTCATCCATCAGCTCCTGTGCCACAGCATGACTCTGATTCTCACGCATACAAGCAGACTCACCAAGCAGGGAGGAGGAAAATATTTCCAGTTACTCCTGTGCAGTTATTTTCTAAAGGTCATTACATACACTCAATGAAAACATCATAGCACCATCTTAATCGTAATCTTAAAACAAAAACAGATAAAAAAATAAAATTACAAATCAACCTTGAGCTGCTCTTCCTGGAAGATGCCTGATTGCAGGTTGCCTTTGTTTTGAAGATGGTCACCTTTAGTGCTTTTGAAGCACAGATATTGTTTTTAGAAAATATTCTGTCTTCATAACTGCATAAAATTAACTGCATGCTGCTCCGTTGTCGCAGTAATTTTTTTATAGTAATTTTTTCTCCTGATTACCGAATAATTGAGATATAATTATGAGATCACTACCCTGGTAGCAAAAGTAGTATCTGATTTATGATGTGTGACCAGTGTGCATTGTCTAGAACTGATTATCAGAGAATTTGAAGCAGGTTATGCCATGATGACCACATACAAGAACTGATACATTGGCATATTTACAACAGCTGGCAGTGCTCTAATTAATGGTCATATACTCATATAATCTGGTAGCAATGTGTGTGATGTGATTCTTATTTCCTCCTGTCTCTGCCTGCAACAAACACTCCACCTTGCAAGCTTTATGATGTTTTTCTTATTGCAGCACTATGTAACCTTTAGCCACTGGGGGCACTAGACTAATTTCCAGGTTTAGCACCCCTGGAGGCCACTGGCAACACTGCACTGCTGCATAATTACGGTTTCTCTCTTTGTGTTTTGGAATCTGATAGCAAACCAATTTGGACCAGCAGATTGCAAAACTATAGAGGTACTTGCAAAGACAAGGACACATTAACCCCTCTAGATAGATGCTACATAGGATGACAAAAAATATGTCTGATCAGGTAAGTGTAATTTAATCTAAAAAGACTAAGTAAAACATTTATACTGGATGCTGGGTTCCAAATATTTAATTTTCACCTAACAACATAAGAAAATTCAGCAGAGAAGTCACCCTGTTTACTCCTCAGTCATTGTTATTCAGTGTTTTACCGTGTTCATGTTTTCTGAAGGCTTGGTCATCAATAAAACACAAAACAATGAAAATCAGGGCATGTGTGTATTTAAATGGACCACAACAACGGCCAGAAACAAACACCTGCTGAGATTACTAATGAGTGTATGCATTACTTTGCAGGGTGGAAAGTAATGAAGGAGGGAGTGTGGTGACTTGCTGTTTATGTGACAAAGAATGTCAAACTATGTTTCTCTTGTGGGGGGGAATTAAGATAACCAACAGAGGAACCAATTTGGACACAGCAAAGAAAAGACACCTCTGAAAACTCTGTTATTACTATTATTATTTTTCAGGTTTAACTTGCCCCTTTTTTCTAGTTCTGCCATGGAACTTATAAAACAGAGTAGAAGAAGGAAGGAGAGACTTGTTCAGATTATCTATCTGAACCTCCTAGCTTTAATATTCCAATATCACTAGAGGGTGGCCCATTACGCAAAAGGCTGTAGTTTTATTACAAAAGATACACAAGAACTTAAAGAAACTGAAGAAAGCAGAGCATTTGTATCTTATCTAACATCTGTAAAATATGCTGGAACCCTGAAATATCTATCTCTGATGCTCTCATGAACAATAATCCTTTCAGTTGCTGAGCTCAATAATTTAACATGGGACATATATATCTTCTCTCTTTTACATTTAGTTTTATAACAGCAACACAAGAGAAATTACTTTGTATTATTTATTGCAGAAGTTGGCTGTAGAACCTATAAGCTACAACTCAGATGGAAAAGAGGAGTTTATAATGATGTTTTCTGGAAAAATTCCCTAAAGAAAAGTTAATGTTTTATGTCAGTTAGTCTGGAACCATATGATGCAACAAAATAATAGTGCAGCAAAATTGTCAAGCACTCTGTACACATAAAAAAATGTAAGAGAAATAGTCTGCAGAGGCAGGAATTCAAAACAAACAAAAATAACATGTAGGACGTAGAAACATGAGAAGAAGAAGGAACTGACACAAAACAGAGCCAGCCGAGGAGATTATATATATTGGTGGGTGATGACTTGGCAGCGGAGATAAGATCAGGATTGTCAAAGACAGCTACAAACTTTATCACACATAAACTGAACAGGGGTACACAAACAAATCTACAAAACATATAAAAGTCAATCAGAAACCCAATAAGGGAAAACCAAAAATAAGAAACAGAAAACTATTATGCTTTGATAACTTTTAATGCTAAAAGTTTCAATCTGTTTAGATGCTTATGATCTAAATTCAATATTTTCCTGACTACACAAAGTAGTTCAGGTAAGGTTTATCTATATAAATGTATTATCTCGACTAATAGCACCATTCACCCGACAATCAGACCCAGTTCTCATTAATTACCAAGGCCAGTTGGTAAGGAAACAAGTTTTTCTTTCAATGCTGTAATATTTGATCAGTAGAATTTGTCAATTCATCTAACATAAACATCTATCTGAATGTGATATCTGTAACAGAGCAACAGCATTTCAAGTTCACAATGAACACATTATTGTGTAATCGGAATTGATTATATTTGAAGTATAAGCACTCATAAGGTTTTCTCATTCAAAAAACCTTTCCTCAATTTATTAAACCACTTCATCTCGAAATACTAGAAAGGACTTGGTTTATAAGCTGTATTTAGTATTTATTCAATTCAATTCAATTCAGTTTATTTATATAGCGCCAAATTCACAACACATGTCATCTCAAGGCACTTTACAGTTCAACCAGATCAAATTGATACAAAGTTTTCTATCTAAGGAAAACCAGTTGATTGCATTGACTCATTGACTCAAATACAATCCCCCACACTAAGCATGCTTGTAGCGACAGTGGAGAGGAAAAACTCCCTTTTAACAGGAAGAAACCTCCAGCAGAACCAGGCTCAGTGTGAGCGGCCATCTGCCGAGGCCGACTGGGGTTCAAGGAGACAGAAGCAGAGATACAAAAAGCAGCTGTAAAAGGCGGCCCCGTCCAGGAAACACACAGCCAGGCAGACGAGCTCCAAGGCAGCTCCCATGCCAGAGGACGAAGAAAGCACATCCACTCAGTCACGGTCAGAGAAACAGGACCACACTGGAAAACAGGCCGATCTCCAACATCTATAAACAAGGGTGTTGATAGAAGCAGCACAGCTGATGTTTCTTTCCAGGATGACGTCACAGCCAAACAGGAACAGACGAGGCAAAGCTACTCTGAGGAAAAGCAGAGAGAGCAGAAGGTTAGAGATTGAACTAACAGATTCTGCAGAATAGGAGAACAGAGAGAGAATGAAGCAGAATGATGAAATGGGGGTCCCTATGTCCTCCAAAAGTCTAAGCCTATAGCAGCATAACTATAGAGATAGCTCAGGATAACCTGAGCCACTCTAACTATAAGCTTTATCAAAAAGGAAAGTTTTAAGCCTAGCCTTAAAAGTAGACAGGGTGTCTGCCTCACGGACTAAAACTGGTAGTTGGTTCCACAGGAGAGGAGCCTGATAACTAAAAGATCTGCCTCCCATTCTACTTTTAGAAATTCTAGGAACCACTAGTAAACCTGCAGATTGAGAGCGAAGTGCTCTGTTAGGAACATAAGGAACAATCAGATCTCTGATATAAGATGGAGCTTGGCCATTTAAGGCTTTATATGTGAGAAGGAGGATTTTAAATTCTATTCTTGATTTAACAGGAAGCCAATGAAGAGAAGCCAGGACAGGCGAGATATGATCTCTCTTTTTAATTTTCATTAGAACTCTGGCTGCAGCATTTTGGATCAGCTGAAGGCTTTTAACTACAGTTTGTGGACTTCCTGATAGTAAAGAATTACAATAGTCCAGCCTTGAAGTAACAAATGCATGGACTAGTTTCTCAGCATCACCCCTGGACAGGATATTTCTAATTTTTGCAATGTTCCTCAGATGAAAGAAGGAAATTCTAGAAACCTCTTTGATGTGGGATTTAAATGACAGGTCCTGATCAAAAACAACACCAAGATTTTTTACTTTATTATCTGAAATCAGTTTAATCCCATCCAAATGAAGTGACTGGCTAATCAGTTTCTTTTTCAGAGACTCTGGTCCAAAGACTATAACTTCTGTTTTGTCTGCATTCAGAAGCAGAAAGTTAAGAGTCATCCAGGTTTTTATGTCTTCAAGACATGCCTGTAATCTATGTAATGGGTTAGCTTCATCTGGATTTATAGACAGATATAGCTGGGTATCATCAGCATAACAGTGGAAATTAATCCCATGCTGTCTAATAATTCTACCAATTGGGAGCATGTATAAAGTAAAGAGAATTGGTCCTAGCACTGATCCCTGTGGTACTCCACAGGTAACCTTTGAGCGTGTTGAAGATCTATCATTAACATGAACAAACTGAATTCGATCAGATAGATAAGATTTAAACCAGTCTAGTGCTGTTCCTTTAATTCCAACAAAATATTCAAGTCTTTCTAAAAGAATATTATGGTCAACTGTATCAAATGCAGCACTAAGATCCAACAGGACGAGCACAGATACAAGTCCATTATCTGAGGCCATGAGAATATCATTAGTGACTTTCACCAGAGCTGTTTCAGTGCTATGATGAGCTCTAAAGCCAGA